TTGGAGGTGAAATGTACAGGAAATTAAGATTATTTTCTTTTCTTCTTACAAATATTTGTAGTGATATTTCAAAGGAAGCTGGAACTTTTGTTTGATTCCAAAATGCAAGTGCTATAAATACGCGTACTGAGACAAAAAATGGGCACATATATAGTTTTTTAGAACTCTCATCTTAATTTCTATGATCTGTGCCAATACCCTACAATTGGTAGAAATACTTTCTGTGTAATTGCTGAAGCAGAAGTGGAAAAATTACTGCAAAACATTATATATTATGTTTGCACTGTGGTATCACTGTCCAGGGTCGGCATCTTATTGTGTGAGATATTTGATGTCGTGCAGAGTTAACACTGGAAAAGCTTAATGGTGTTTTATAGTTAGAGTTTGCTCGTACATATGAACATGTAGGAAACTGCTGTTCACAGGCAAAAAGGGAACATGGGGCAACCTGCACTGTACAACTGATGTGGAATCTTGTGGATTATAAATACAGGGGACTGTAAAGCAGTGGAAGTATAGAAAGGACTTTGGAAAAAATGCAACCAACTTCTAGCACTGAGATTTATATTGTTTGGGGGGGGGCTTGGGTTTTGGGTTTTTTTAATTTCATATTTTTCCCCAGTTTTGTATGTCACGTTTTCCCCTCTCTGCTACTTGAGTCATAATCAGTTACAGTGTTATTTTTGCAGTTAAGGCTTTAAGAAATTGCTGGTGGTGCTGTTTCTCATTTGCTTATTCAGGTAGGACAATTAGTAACCATTTTGTCACTTAGTGTAGGGGAGCATGTGGGTGGTGCATGAAGGTATGGGGAAGGCATAAGGGTCCCTGAAGCTCCTGGTGAGCACTGCAGGGTTAACTGAAAACACCAAGTGATTTTGTGATTAAAATGAGAGATTGCTGTCAGCGCGGATGGATGCCAAGCAACGGGGAGGGATGAAACACTTCTAGGCAAAACTATGCCCATAGCAAAATAAAAACCCGTGCCTGGACAATGACTGGTTCCTGAATCCGTGTTACTATGCAGGAAAAGGGCGGTGGGTTTGTTTTTGGCAGCTTTCTGCAAACACCTGCCCAGTGCTAGTTAAAAAAAAAAAAAGTTAGAAATTATTATGGAAAAGGAGTAGAGGACAAAAGAGAAGACTTGAATATACCATGTTAGGAATCCCCATCTTGAATATTGTGTGTCATTTTGGACCCTGTTCCAAGGTTTAGTGGAAGAAGAAGAGGCATGGAGGAGAGAATGACAGGCTTGGGCTGCTTCTGGAAGAAGAAAGGGTAAGTAAGATTGGGACTGATCAACCTGGAGAAGGGATGTGATGAAAGGGATAAAGTGAAGATGTACGTTGCAGAATTTACTGCCAAAAGACACTTCGGAAGACAAAACCATAGTGGTTTCGAAAGTATATCGGACAATCCCAGTGGGAATGAGGATTTATTCATGTGGGCTTGGGTGCAATCAATGGTTCTGGACATACAGATTTTAAGAATTGCTAAAGTTCTTCTGGTGGCTGGAGTTGGGGAAAATACTCAGGCAGCACGTTCACACCTCCCGTCTTCCTGCACTTTTTCCTTGGAGATCTGTGCTAAGCCTTTCAGAAACAGGCTGCCTACTCTGTCAGGCAAACCTTTGAATGGCGAGTACCACCACTAGTATGGGTGTAGTTGAAAATAAGCGTGCAGAAGAGGCTTAGCTGGTTTTGGAGCACCTGCTTGGATGTGTCCCGATATTGTTGGAGGGAGGGAAGTGTTTGTATTCAAGGCTTGCTGTGTAAGCTAAACTGAACTTCTCAAGAATTCAGGAGGCAGTAACTGTGAGGCATGAATAGCTTAGAGAGGAGCGTGGGATTTTAACTTTTGGATTGTTGTGAAGTTGCATGTTACTTGGTTTGTTTTTAACTCTGTTTATCTAGATGTCTGGCATTGTGCTTTTTCAATTGTTATGCCACTCGTATTTTGGAGAGAGAGCTTTTTTTTCCTGTCTTCTGCCAGTGAAATGAGAATGAAGATAGGTTTGCTGTTCTGCACTTTGTGTCTTTGAATAAGACCAGTTCCTTTTATATCTGTTGGTTTGATGTTTTTTTTCTCTTCCTCAGGAGAGCAGCTGTATGAAAATGTGACTGTTATCAGGTTTTGATCAGCAGCTGCAAAACCAAGTAGTCCTCTTAATTTCATTGTGCATCTGCATGGCGAAGCTTTGCGCAGTAGGAGTGTGTCTTCAGCTTTGAGAAGATCACATTACATTAATAGTTGGCATTGGAAGGGGTTTCGTAACTATACAAGCAGTTTGTTTACCTCTTAAACAACATAGTTATGCATTAGTTGACAATATCCAGGGTAAACTGCCTTTTTTCCAAGCCCTTATTGTTTTGGAAGGCTCAGTTTGAAAGAGGAGGGCTATGTTTTGTTTGTCTTCGATACGCTATCTCCACTGATGTATTAAAATGCAGAACAGCTTTTGGTTAGTTATGAAATCTATATTTTAACACTATAAAATACAGTTGTAATTCACCTGAAAATAAGTAACCTCAATGCAAAATTTTCGTGCGAGGGAGTCTATGGCAATACAGTTAATTCTTCCAGTCTTAAGTAGCCTAAAAGTGTGTTTACAAGATTGGATGTAGAAGACTTCTTCCACTGAAGTGCAGCTGTCCCTTATTTGTGGTTTGAAACTGCAACTATTGACAAGTGCAGGCAGAGTTTATATAAAAAATCAGAAGGCCTCTTGCCAATTCAATAAGCATGAAAAGCGGTGTGTGGTGTTTACATCATGGTCTCTTTGCCAAACATTTTGTCTCTCAAAGCGTATAATCATTGCCGCTTACATCTCAAAAGTAATTTTCTGGTATTTGAGTATGTCTTTGGAAGTATGAGTCGTGGGAAAAGATCTACTCACAGCTCTTATACAAGTTTACTGACTCTTGGGGGTTTTTTTTGGCTTAGTCTAGTCTATTGTGCTCTCCTGGTTCTCCACTTCTTTTCACTACGCCTAGGACAGAAGCCATAAAATCTTGTATCTGGTTTAGAAATTAGAGGTGATTTCAATTGTTTTAATTTACCTTTTCTATGGCAAAACGAACCATTGCAGCCATGTTTCCATTTAGTCTTGTGCTGGTAATGAAACACAACGGTGCTGTTCCTGGAGGTTCTGAATTCTTTTAAAGGAATGTAATCAACATAATGTGGTTTAGAAGGGAAAGTACCAAAGACATCCCTCATCAGCTTCTTATTTGGTCTGCATCAAATTTTGATTTCTTCTGCTGAGATGAAAAAAATCATTTGATAAGAGGTGCAAATTCAGGAATAAGTATGAAATTTCTGTGACAGTATTTAATATTAAATTTCCTTTCCATTTTGTTTACCTCTGTCTCTGATCACAAACTGAATTCACTTTCTTGGTCTTCACTTCAAACAATTTAAAAATCTTGAGTTGTCTTTAATTTCTTCACAATAAGTGCTAAGGATTAAATCGCTAATACAACAACAAAGACCCTAAGAAAGGAAAATAAAACCTTATTATTGTATAGCTCCTTTGACAGGCAACTTGCCTAATTAATCATAACCAATTTATAACCAGATATTAATTTATTTTAAAATATTTGGTATAAAGACTTCATCTATATCTGCAGGCAGTTCCTGCAAACAAACAGGAAACGACTGTATAATGTCCTAGGTTTTAAATTAGTATCTCTCTCATACTTCATGCGGGTCAAAGTAAGCAACATTTGAATACAGTTAGAGTGTAGTGTGGAGATACAGGATGTTCCAGTTATTTACGTGAGCCTGGTTAATGTCTTCACTGGTCATGCAAGTGTTTGAAATGTTTTGGTTAAAACCCACAGCATTGCATATTATTAGAATGTTAAAAATGCAGCTTCTTCAGAAAAATAATACTGAATAAAGCAAAATCCATCAATGGCATTTGATTAACAACTTATGGTTTAACTGTACTTTTTAAGACTTCATATGCCTGATGTTCTGAAGCACCTGTTTCCAGTAGGTTTGAACAGACTCAGACCTCAGTTTTCAGGAAAAAGCTTTCAAAACTTTCCTATCCTGCAAGACATTTTTCCAACATGTTAACCCTACTGCCCCCGCCCCCCATGCTTACTTCCATTACTTTAATCTGACAAATTTTACGGAGACTTTACATGGAGACTTTAACATACATATGGATTATAGATCTAAGATGTTCTCCTATTCTGCCTTACAAATGCCAAGTATTTGGTATTATGTTTCAAATGTGGAATACAGAAAAACCTGTCCCTTCTGTGTCATGAGGAATGGGCTGTTTACTTGCATGCCCTCAAATTCTGTCTATTTAAGTAACTGGGAACTAGACCAGGAAGACATAATGCTCTATTTGCCAATTCTACTAGCAAAAATGGTTCAGACTTGAGAAATATCTCATTGTCTGTGAATCCATTAAAATATCCACCACTGCATGGGTCTTGTTTCCCTCTCAAAGAAGTATAGTCAGTATTTCTTCGTTTCCATTTTCCTTTAAAGACTATTATGCTTTATATGATCTTGTCAATCAAGTTCTTTATTTGGCTTTTTGTGTCATTTTCTTCCATCTATTAACTTCTTGTGGCATTTGAAACAAAAGGCTTCTGCTTTCTCTTTGCAATCTTGGTGCTGCTAGAGGAGTTAAAGACGTTGGAAAGGGAGAAAGCAGAACATCAACCTACTGAAGTGCACTGGTATCAGGAATGTTAAATAAACCTTTCCCTCCTTCTAAAAATAAGTGTATGATGACTGGTCTGTTTGGCTTGTTTAAGATGTATTTCCTCACAACTGTAAAATAAATTTGCTGGATCCCTTTGTCACTTTAAATTTGCTCTGTGCATGGGGTTTTGCTCAGTTCCAGGGGACTGAGTTTCACCTTTACTGTGTGTTCTTAATATGACTAGCCTGTTTCCATGCTAATAGGGATTTTACAACTGTTGAGCCAATATAATGTAATTACTAGAATGTTATTGTTTAAACTATTTCCAGGTACATCTACCTTTATGGAAGCATTAGCAGCCAATGGTACAACCAGCATACAGACATCTGTAACAGGAGTGACAGCCAGCAAACGAAGGTTTATTGATGACAGGAGAGATCAACCTTTTGATAAAAGGCTACGTTTCAGTGTGAGGCAAACGGAGAGCGCGTACCGGTACAGAGACATTGTTGTCAGGAAACAAGATGGATTCACACATATTTTGCTATCAACAAAATCATCTGAAAATAATTCACTAAATCCAGAGGTCAGAACAATTCTGATTTTGGGGGGAAGGGTGCTGGGGGAGTTCCAAGTCCTTGCCTCATTTATCCCTGTTATTCAGGCACAAACATACACAAAACAAGATTCACATTGTTGCTTGCAAGATGTTAAACTGAACTGAATTACATTTAAAGTCAGTTGCTTGTGTAGGAACCGTGTTATCTGAACATGGAGATGTACTGTCTTTTAAAAGACGTGGTGATTTACAGAGTGCAACCTGAAACGAGCTTTAGCCTGAATTAAGGTTCTGGTTATTTCTGAACTGGTTGCATGTGCCACCTGCTGTCCAAATTACAGAAATGCTGAATGAGAGCTTTAGTTACAGTTAATGTCTAATAGAACTTTTCTTAATGATTTCATTATCTTTGTCTAATTACATTTTTGAAATGCAAAGCTTCTAATACTATTTTTTTTTTAACATTCTTATTTTTGGATAATGAAAAAAGTGAACTTTTCTAATATGGTGGTTGAGCGGATCCTAAGGAGAAATTAAAGCTCTCCAGGGGGAGGAGGGGAGGAGAACAGTGTGCTACTTTTTAGTAACGGAATAAAAAGATTCTAATGAATTTTTGATTTGCAGGTAATGAAGGAAGTCCAGAGTGCACTGAACACAGCAGCTGCAGATGACAGTAAACTTGTTCTGTTCAGTGCAGTTGGTAGCATTTTCTGCTGTGGTCTTGATTTTATTTATTTTATACGACGCTTAACAGATGATAGAAAAAAGGAAAGCACTAAGATGGCAGAAGCTATTAGGTATGTAAGATTATCTTCAGTCATCTGAGTGGGTACTCTTCATGTAGTGGGGCTTGTCCTATCTTTTTTTATTTCAAAAGACTCTAATTCAAGAAGAACTCAGACATCCCCCTGTTTATGTGGTATATTGCGCTGCACTTCTTTATATTCCCTGTCCCTTCTTATTTGGGTTGCCATTTCATGCATTGCTATTTTTACTACTAAAATTTAACTATGAAAACTGTTAGTATGGTAATACTCCTCCAGTTTAAACCAATTTTAAAAGATTTAAACAGCTACAAGGCTTCAGGAAAACAGATTTAACACATGCAAATACAAGATATGCATTGACTGTGTAACTTATTATAGTACATTCAGAGCAGTGGAATGATGGACATTTTAGAGGAGTAGACTAAAACTAGTGACCATCATCCCAACACGAAGTACCAAACCTAATATTTAAAGAAAATTAACTGAACTACTACAAACTCGAAGAATATGTATGGAAAAAAGACATGTTTTAATGGTACAAACAAGTAGCTTATCACTTAAACAGTGGTTTTGAGGGCCTGGGCTCTTGGATTAGCTCTTATGCTTCCAGAGCATCTATACTCCTTCGGAGACCAATGTTCTGTTGTCTTTATCAATATTCATGTCCCTAAAAAAGGCCTTCTGACATGTAAAGCCTGTTTCATTGGAGGCACATTTGGCTCATAGAGATGACGGTAGGAGGGGTTTGTTGTTTTTTGGTTGGCTGGAGTTTTTCAGTTTGTTTAATTTTTTCCAAAGGAAATATTGCAGTCATTCCATGTAAAAGTTGCTCATGCAGTGACTTCAGATGCAGCCAGAGGACAGAGGCTCTTGACACTGAGCTTCTGTCCCTAGTTTTAATTCAGGTGCTTCCAGAAGCCTGATTTGTCACCTGTTATTCATTGTTAAGAAAATGGATACATGTAACTTAAACCCCCCCTTCAAATACAGTAGTGGTGTTTTTCATACATATGCTAGAGATGGTCCTCTCTGGAATATTCAAACATGATTAAAATTATCTTGAGTCTCTGGATTGGGAGTGTTTGTGTGATGGATTGCATAAGATAGACAGTTCCAGAAATTTTTTAGCATTCATCTACTTCAACTCGCTTAGGATGAATTGAGCATGATAACCTGCAGTGATGGATGCAATAGAGTAGAAGTGTTCTGTTCCACTGAAATGCAAAAACAACCATTGCAACACTAATTACTGGCCTCCAACTAGTCTTGGTGCTGCTGTTTGCCACCCTGTGGGCCAGCCATTCAGACATTCTTCAGTCCTCCTCACTGCTCATCCAGCTCATACATCAACAGCTTGACTGGGAGAGTCTTGTGGGAGACAGTGCTGACTGCCTCACTCTGAAGCCTAGGTAGACAATACCCACTGCACTCTCCTCATCCAAGCTAACCATGTCATCACAGAAGGTTATCAGGTTGGTTTTGAAAGCAATGTTACTGTGGAGATGAATTCTTACTGAGTTTTCAAGGGCTGCTATATTTTACACTCTAAATATGAAGTGAGTACATGTTTCTGTTTCTCTTCAGGAATTTTGTGAATACTTTTATTCAGTTTAAGAAGCCTATCATTGTAGCAGTAAATGGCCCAGCCATTGGACTTGGAGCATCTATATTGCCTCTGTGTGACGTGGTTTGGGCTAACGAGAAGGCTTGGTTTCAGACACCATACACTACTTTTGGACAAGGTCCGGATGGATGTTCATCCCTTACATTCCCTCGGATAATGGGCCTGGCTTCTGTAAGTAGCTTGCAGAGTAGGGGCAATGCAGTTGTGAAAATTTATCCAGAGTGATTTCAAGACTTTTTACCTTTGCCGAGTTGTCTTTTTTTCCTCTCATGAAAACCTTTCATGAGAATCCAGTATTTATAGCTTCTCTGCTCCATGCTGTTGCAACCTAGTCTTCACCTGCATGCACAGAACCAAAAGCAGGGACCTAATAATCTCATGTCATGGGCACCCTTAACCCTGACAGTGGCAGAAGGGTTATATCCTACATGCCAGGACACACTTTCCTTGCTGTTGCCTTGTAAGGACCAGCCACCAATATCTTGCATTCGCCACAGCATCCAAGCATAGCAGAGAATGGGCTGCTCTGCACTAGGTGTTGTTGCACCGCAGAGCTCTGTGGCACCAGCTCTCAGCAGCCTCCTGCTGATCTGCAGAATAAGTAATTCTGCTTTTGTGCGCTCATTCTCAAGAAGTCATGTTGAACTTGCTCAGTTTGTAGGTCTCTGCTATGTTTCACACTAGGGCGTTATGGAAGAAATACTCAGCCCAAATCACCTTTGTGAAGGGTTATTTATTGTCTGGGGTTTTTTTTTTGTCTTTGGACTCAATTTCCAGTATTGCTGGATTGAAAAATGGAAAAGCTTTGCATTGCTGCTGAAAGCATAAGCCACGTGTTTCTTAGTATCCCTTTTCTTGCTTTCCAATTAGATGTAAGAATCAAATGTAACAAAAAGCTATTTAAAAATCTCTTACCTACATTCTTTTCATGTTGCTTACTATTTTTTATGCTGTACTCTTTGAAAACTTTGAGCTATGCCCCATTCCAATTTGAAATTGAACAGTAACAGTATGAAACAAGCGCTTGTAGCTACACCTGGTTTTCCTAAATTACTGTCTATTATAAAAGCAAACTTTTCTCTGTAGGTATTTATTGATTCCAAAATACAGATATGGATACATTAAAAGCATCAGTTTCTAATGCACTTGATCTAGTGACTAACTGTATGATGTCTGGATTTAGTTATTAGAAGAGAACAGAAAAGGTAACTGAAATAGATAACAGTTACAAGAGTAGCTTTAATATCTTAGCATGTTTCAAACAACTGATTGTTCCTTTCCCTTTTTATTTGGCCATCCATCCATCCATTCATCCATCCATTCCATCCATCCCCGTCCTTTAGAGACTTGCGGTTGTTGCTTTTTGTTTCTTTAAAAGATGTACAAAAACCAAAAGAAGCTCTTCCCTAGTATACTCTTTCATGTGTGCTTGTGAATGCTCTCATTTCTAGATATAAAGATTTAAACTGAAAGCTTCCAGTGGCAACAATTCCATAGTTAGTGCGGTAGGGAACAGGAGGGGAAAATCCACTGTTGTACTATACTCAGCTCTCTGCAGGGTCAGTTGTGGCTAGTGAGCAGCTCTGTTGTGGAGGGGTTTTTCCACAGAACATTTTCAACAGAGGTCATTATTACAGGATAGCTGAAGCCCAGACCTTAGGATTCAAAAATGATACTGTATTGAGAATACCAAGGATTTTAGAAGGATTCTTAAACTTGACTTTTGAAAATAATCTACCATAGAGATTCAGGTGGTGCCTGTTTGGGGAGATGTGTTATTGTGTGTCTGTTGTGGAGTTCTTGGTCTGGTTTTCTGGTCTTAGATCTAAAGCCCAGGAGCCATGTGCTCAAGGTTCCCGCATTGGGTTTCCCTGCCAGTCTCCAGCACACTTGGCAGTATTTCTTATGCTTTTCTATCAGTCAGTCAGGATACACACTTCCGCAGTGCCTGCAGTCCACATCACAGACAGGGGCTCGGGTGGTACAGAGCCTCCTGGCCATAGTGCAAGAGAGTCAAGATGCTCCTCGGCAGCTAGTGCCTGTGGGCTTACACTGAAGTTCCCCTGTGAGCCTCAAAGCACTTGCTGTAAATGAGAGACCAGAGGATGTCCCTATGAAGTTCCTCTGTAAAAGGAGAAGACTAAGTAGAAAATTAAAGTTGTTAATGAGAATCATTTATTTATGAAATATTTTTATCACCATCATTTCTATTGCTGTATTATATGTCTTGGAAAGTAACCGCCAAGTGTGTTATTTTTCACAGCAGACACAAGGTGTGATTATTGGATTAAAACTTGTTTAGCAGTGGCTCTCCAGCACATGTTGTGTATAGATCAGAAGTGAGAATGCCAGAGCAAAACAGTTCCCTTCAAAGCCCGTCAACTGCGAACACCCATGGGAGCACTCATCTCATGTGAGGCTTTCTGCTACAGCTGTGGTACAGCTGGCAGAAGAGAGGCACCTGCCCCACTATCACTTGTGGGGTTTCATATTGCTACTGAGTTCTAGAAAAAAAAAAAATGAAGGTTTTCTAGCATTTGTTTTTATCCTGGTTACCCGATATCCATGTGAAGAATATGCAGACCTGACCAGCTGATCTAAATTTCTGACTTCGCTAACTCCAGTCCAATTGATTT